ATAAATAAATCTTTAAAAAAAGAGAATAAGAAGACAAACCAAAGACTGCAAGGAAATATTTACAGAACACATATCTAACACAAGACTGTTATCCAAAATATACAAAGAACTCTTAAAAGTCAACAATTAAAAAATGAACCACCGGCGCCTGGGTGGCTCAGTCGTTGGGTGTCTGCCTTCGGCTCAGGTCATGATCCCAGGGTCCTGGGATCGAGTCCCACATCGGGCTCCCTGCTCTGCGGGAAGCCTGCTTCTCCCTCTCCCACTCCCACTCCCCCTGCTTGTGTTCCTGCTCTCGCTATGTCTCTCTCTGTCAAATAAATAAATAAAATCTTTAAAAAAAAATGAACCACCCAATTAAAAATGGACAAAAGATCTGAACAGACACCTCATCAAAGAAGATACACAAATAGCAAATAAACTATGGTATGTCCACACAATGGAATGTTATTCAGCACTAAAAAGAAATGAGCAATCAAGGCATGAAAAGACATGGAGGAGATTTAAATGCATATTAGTAAATGAAGGAAGCCAATCTGAAATGACTATATACAGTAAGATTCCAACTATGTGACATTCTGGAAAAACTGAAACTATGGAAACAGTAAAAGGATTACTGGTTGTGAAAGGTTGAGGGAGGGAGGGATGAACAAGAGCAAAGGGGATTCTAAGGGCAGTGAAACTATTCTGTATAGTACTATAATGGTGGATACATGCCATTATATATTTGTCAAAACTGACAGAACGTAGACCACCAAGAGTGAACCCTAATGTAAAGCGGAACCCAGAGGATAGGTAGGGAAACAAGTATTTAAGGAAATGATTATCCCAAGATAAATTATATCATAGAGTTATACAACTAGTACATTAGGAACACAAAAAAAGTAGGTATAAATATAAAAATTATTAATCTTACCATAAAAACACAAATTTGGGAATTCAAATAGAAATCAAATAAAAAATGTACATCAAAATTATGAAATCATAGAAAACTGGTTCTCCAGAACTCATTGTTAGACAATGAAAGAAATAACTAAAATATTCTTTAGGTTATATAGGATGTTCTTATTTTAATGGAAAGCCACAGGCAGGAAAAAATACAGCTTCCAATGTCTGAAACACTCTGACTATGGTAATATGAAATATACATTAATACAAAGGAGATTTGACATAACAGATGGACTATCAAAATGAGTCATACTGGTTACTCCAAGTGGAGTGCTGTAAGTGACATAACTTCCAGATTGTTTCTTCAAATTTAACTTAATTCCCATAACATTCAGAACATTTCCATAAATCTTTGTCTTCATTAATTAAATCAATCCTACTGATCAACAATCACTGCAAAATCTTCCTCTCTATCAAAAATGACTAATTAAGATATTAGAAGGGAGATTATTCAAAATACTCTATATTATCCTCTTACCATCATTCTTTATTTGAAAAGATGAAAAGGGAAAAAAGATGGGTCTTTCCATCAATTTTAACTAACAGGATCATTTCTGCAGAATAAGATAAAAATGACAATCTCTTTAGATCCATCAACCAAAGGGGTAAGATCAGAAAAGATTGTAAGTTTGTGAAGATTATTTCAGCTCTGAAAGCAAAAGAGCAATTTTATCTTTTACTTAAAGTATTTTAAAAATAGCTCCACTAGAGTGGAATTATACCACTCTAAGTATTAAATCAATTCCTAACCATGAAAATTGGTAGAGAGAAAGAATTAAGCGTGTATCTTGCCCTTTACACACACGAAAACTATGGTTCATTCCTGGTTGATGAGAAAAAACTCATTTTTTTATAGAAGAACAGCAGTTAATCATGCAGAAAACATGATAGAATTAGAAAAACCACCATTCTACAGCCTTCCATGTAATAACGCTATTAAATAAAAAGTTGTTTCAGAAATGAAGCCAAAATAACACTCTACAGATTACTTGCTAATCTCCACAAGAAAAACCAGCTCCAAAATGTAGATATTTTGATAGGCTACTAACATATCCATGTGATCAAACACAGTATCATATTATATTATTTTGCAGGACACATTTTTGAGATAATTGGGAAATTTTAGATTATGGCTTGGATATTAGATAATATAATGTGTTAAATTTCTGAACTACAATATCTGGTTACATGGGAAAAGGTCCTATTCTTAGGAAATGTATGATTAATTTGTAGTCTGGTGAAATGTCATCAAATATGTAACTTAAATTCAAATGATTCAACAAAATACAACATGCCTATGTATATATATTACACATACATGGGTGTACAAGTATATAGATATATGTATACACATCCGTATACATATATATTTATTATACATTTGAAATGTGAACACCTACTTATTCACGGGTCATTATTATACTCTTTTAAATCTATTTTTTTACCATTTTGATGTATTTTTATTTTTATTTATTTTTTTATTATGTTATGTTAATCACCATACATTACATCATTAGTTTTTGATGTAGTGTTCCATGATTCATTGCTTGCGTACAACACCCAGTACTATCTTTTAAATCTATTTTTATGTTTGAAACCTTACATGACAAAAAGTTTGGAGAAAGAAAATGAAAAGTAGTAGGGCATTCCATATACTATAACATCTCTCCTTATCAAATGCCTTAAGGACAAGCAGAAAAACAGAAACTACCACCAAAAAACAGGCAAAAATACAAGTAGTTTATAATATGTTACAAAATGAAAAGGAAACTTGAAGTTACAAAGAAAGTACCACTTACATACATTAATATGTAGTCTGGAATATTGAAATTCTTGGCTTAATTATGATACAGAAATTAATGTAACTCAACAGCATTGTTTACCACCTTCTTGAGAGCAAAACTAATACTTAGAGGATTTCTAAATTTTTATTTTAAATTAATTCATTCAAGAACCACTTACTGAACACTACTTACTTTTCTGATATACACTGACCCATATAAGAAAAGTCAGATTCCATATTTCATATTTTCCATTTCTAAAAAAAACTGGTTGAAAAACCCATGATATAAATGGCAAAAAAAAAATTTTTTTAAAGGACATACCACTTGTATTAAACGCCATACAGCACACTGGTTTTTCATGAGCAGGAAAGTGGGCCACAATACCATCACTGTCAGAATCCTCACTCACAAGCACCTTTACAGAAAGAAAAAAGGCAAATGGAAGTTAAGCTTTACTCACCAATCACTGAGCCTGAAGATATACACAGCTACACCACGATACCCCTGACCAAATAACATGCTTCCACTATATTGGAAGATTATTCTTGTCACTATAAGGTGAGAAGGTCCCTCTAGGAATGAGGAAAAGATATATGCCCCAGTAGATCAATCATATAAACTCTAGGAACAGTTGATTGGCTTTACTGTAAATGACAGAGACAATAATTTCTTGAAGTAGAGGTTCAGAAGAAAACAAAAAGCATAAAGTCAGCCATGGAGAGCTTCATCCAAAGAACATACAGTTCTTATTGTGTTATGGCCTGCTGGAAAATGCTTGCTCATGACTAGATCCTTATCGGGTCATGATATTCAGACATAAAACATTTAATCTAGAAATATTTTTTAAGATTTTATTCATTTGTGAGAGAGAGAGGACACGTGCGTGCAGCACAAGCAATGGGAGTGGCAGCCAGAGGGAGAAAGAGGATCCCTGCTGAGCAAGGAGCCTGATGCGGGACTCGATCCCAGGACCCTGAGCTGAAGGCAGATGCTTAACTGACTGAGCCACCCAGGCGCCCCTAAATAGTCTAAAGTACACCAGGAACTAATCCTACATGGGCAACATTAATTTTTCTTTTAGTGTGAAGAGTTTTACAAAGGTATAATTCACATACCATAAAAGTTGCCTATTTTATGTTTATAATTCAATGATTTTATACAGTACTATAACCATTACAACAATCCATTATATAAAAATGTCTGATTTGTCATCCTTTCCTATCTTAATGCTTTAATTTTCTTGCCTTATTGCTCTGACTCAAACCAGCAATTCAGTGAAGCCACAGATTTATCAATTTTTTGTGCATAGATCATTGTTGCCATCTTAACAATATTTGAGTGTTCAGTTCAGTATGTTAAGTACATTCAGACTGTTGTGTAACAGATTTCTACAACTTTTTCATCTGCAACACTGAAACTCTATACCCACTAAACACTAATTCTTTCCCCTCCCTTCCTAGCCCTTGATAACCACCTTTCTGTTTTGTTTCTATGATTTTGAGTATTTTAGAGAGTGAAAATAATGGAAAGAATAGATATTTGCACTTTTGTTACTGGCTTATTTCCCTTAGGAAAATGTCCTTAGGGTTTGTCCATGCTGTAACATGTCATGAGATTTCCCTCTATTTTAAGGCTGTATAATATTATTATATAGTATGTATATATCACATTTTTCTTTATCCATTCACCCAGCGATAGATATATGGATTGCTTCCACATCCTGGTTACCAGGAATATGCTGCAATGAACGTGGGTGTGTAAATATCTCTTCGAGATCCTGCTCTGAATTCTTCTGCATATTAACCCAGAAGCCAGATTGCTGGATCATATGATAATTCTATTTTTAACTTTTTGAGGATCAATTTTGTTGATCTTTTCAAAGAACCAATTTTGGATTTTCCCCAATATTGCACTGTTTGCTATTTTTTTTTTACTTCTGTTCGTATTTTTAGTATTTACTTCATTTGTTTTGCTTGGTTATAATTTGCTCTTTTTCAGATGAGAAAAAGGGAAAATCGAAGACTATTAGTTTCAGACCATTTTTCTTTTCTTTTTTTTTTTTTTTAAAGATATTATTTATTTATTTGAGAGAGAGAATGAGATAGAGCATGAGACGGGGGAGGGTCAGAGGGAGAAGCAGACTCCCTGCTGAGCAGGGAGCCCGATGTGGGACTCGATCCCAGGACTCCAGGATCATGACCTGAGCCAAAGGCAGTCACTTAACCAACTGAGCCACCCAGGCGCCCCCCATTTTTCTTTTCTACTATAAGCATTTAAAGCTAAAAATCTCCCTCTACGAGCAAGTGAATAGCTGCACTTCATAATTCTGATATGTTCACTTTTTATTTTCATTCCATTCAAAATATTTTCTAATTTCCTTGAGATTCCTTCTCTGACGCATGAGTTATTTATAGGTAGGTGTGTTGTTTTATTTCCAAATATTGGGAGATTTCCATAATTTCATTCTGTTATTGATTTCCATAGTTCACAGGGAACATACTTTGCATGATTTTAATCGTTTTAAAGCTATTTAGGTTTGTTTTATGTCCAACCATAAGGTCTATCTTGGAAAACATTCCAGATGTTCTTGAAAAGAATACAAATTCTACAGGTTTGGGGGAGGGAGTGTTACACTGTGCTGGTTGATAGGGTTAATCGAGTCTCATAAATCTTCACAAATTTTATCTAGTTTTTCCTATCAATTATTGAGAGCAAAGTATTTAAATCTCAAGCTGTAAATGATAGCTACAATTTCTCCTTTCAATCTGCTGGACTTTGCTCAATGTTTGTTGGGCTATGCTGTAGGTGTTTACGCATTAATATTTGTTTTATCTACCTATTACACTGGCCCTCTTGTTATTATGAAATATCTTTCTCTCTGGCACTATTTTTTGACTAAAGTATTTTGTATGATATTAATATAGCCACTCTTGTCCTATTACGGTTATTGTTTGCATGGTACATTTCTCCAAACCTTTTATTTCAACCAATTATTTCTTCAAATCTGAATGATTCTGGTCTGATAATCACTGTTTTTTAACTTGAATCCATTTATACTTAATATAATTATGCACATAATTGGATTTAGGTCTGCCATTTTGCTATTTATTTTGTCTCAGGTGTTTATTGTACTTCTGATCCTCTTTTTTTGTGTTAATTATTTTTAATGTCACCATTTTAATTCTTCTGTTGATTTTTTGGAGTAATTTTTTAGTGGTTGCTATATAGGTTGCAAGGTGCTACATGGATTACAAGATTGTCCATTAATTACAAACTTAATTGCAATAAATAATAGCTCCTTGCTCCAGTATAGCTGTATTTCCTCCCCATTCCTTTGTGCTACTGTTGTCATATGTATTATCAACTGAGAAACAGGTTATAATTATTCCCTAAAACAATTGTCTACTTTTTAAAAAAAATTAATGGAAGAGAAAGATAAATATTTATATATTTCATTTCTTCAAATGTCTTTCTGACCCTTTATCACCTCTCTTTCTGAGATCCCAATTACATATATGTTGGTACCCTTGATATTGTTCCAAAGATCTTGAGGCTCTATTTATATTTCACCAACATTTTTCCTCTCTGTTCTTCAAATTGGCCCCAAACTGAACTGCAATCTCAGGCTAGCCGAGCCACACATTATCCCTTATTCATCACCTACCAAATTTACTACTTTTAATGGAAATATTTTTGGGCTTGGGTTCTAACATACTACTCCAAATCAAGTAAATCCCCTGCCTAAAAGAGAAATAGCTTGTTCATCTGGCCCACTTTACTCTGGTAAAACTATCACACTCACCAAACTCCAGGCAGATGTGAATAAGAGCAGCCTCAGGCAAAAAGGCCATTTCTCCTTTTACTGTTATCAAAACTCTAGAATCTTTACATGTTTATCATTTCATTCTTAGTTTTTGGTTGATATCCAGAGTCCCCAAATAGTAATTTTTGAAAATTCTTTCAAGTAATGTACTTATTTTCTAGGGAGAAGATTTGCTTACCTCTTCACCATAACTGATAGTCATTCCCCAATCATCAGTAAATTTATACACTCAAATCACCCATTTAATACATTTTAATAATGTATAAATTTAATGTTCAGTAAGTTTATACAACTGCATAACCATTACCACATCCTAGATATAGAATTCTTCCATCACCCAAAAAATGTCTTCATATTAACCCTATGGTAGATCTCTAACCCTAAGCCCCAGGCAAACCCTATGTATATGTTATCTTTTTTGCTTTTTCTAAAAATTTTGAAAATTTTTCATATAAATAGAATCAAGCAGGGACACCTAGGTGGCTCAGTCAGTTAATCGTCTGCCTTCGACTCAGGTCATCATCCCAGGGTCCTGGGATCGAGTCCCACATCTGGCTCCTTCCTCAGCAGGGAGCCTCCTTCTCTCTCTGCCTGCCACTCCCCCTGCTTGTGCTCTCTTTCTCTGACAAATAAATAAATGAGATCTTTAAGAAAGTAAGAATCATGCAATTTGCCTTCTATTTTCTTTCACTTATATAATTTTTACAGTCCAACCATGTTGTTTCAGGAATCATACATTTCTTTATATTGCTGAGTTGTATTCCACTGTATGGAGGTATCTCACAACATGTGGGTTCACCCACCAATTCTTGGCAATTTGGATTATTTCTAGTTGATTACTATTATGCATAGTCTGTTATGAGTATCTATGTATACATATTTTTGTGAACGTGTTTTTATTTCTCTTGGGGAGAGACCTAGAAGTGAATTTGCTCAGTGATATGATAAACATATGCTGAACTTTTAAAGAAACTAACAGTTTTCATCATTTTATATTTCCACCAGTGAAGTATGAGGTTTCCAATTTCTCCACATCCTTTCCAACACTTTGTATTGTACTCTTTTTAATTATGGGCAATCTACCAGAGGCAGAAATCAGAATGATGGTCACCAGGGACCGTGGGGACAGGGGGTTGGGGAGTTACAGTATAATGAATCCAGATGATAAAGAAGTTCTAGAATGGAGAACAGTGATGGCTGTATAATATGGTGAATATACTTATGCCACTGAATTGTAAACTTAAAAATAGCTAAATGTCAAATTTTATGTTATGCATATTTTACCACAACTGGCGGGAAAACATGCATTGTAAGTTATTTTTCTAATCTTTCTTTTTAGTTGTTCCATTGACTTTCTTTTTTTTTAATTTTTTTTTTTAAAGATTTTTTTTTATTAATTTGACAGAGATAAAGAGGGAGAGCACAAGCAGGTGGAGTGGCAGGCAGAGGGAGAGGGAGAAGCAGGCTCCCCGCTGAGGAAGGAGCCCGATGCGGGGCTCGATCCCAGGATCCTGGGATCACGAC